GCAGGAAAGCACGGTAATACTTAAATGTCTTCTACTTCTTCTGTGCTTAAAATGGCAACCTCAGGAATAGTGATTGGATTATTTAGGTTTTAGTTTAAGCTCTTCTGCAAACAAATTTTTGCTTTTCAGTAGTACTACACCAAGCTATCACTGCTGCAGTATTTTTCATTTCCTGGCTATTGCAAAGAGACAACAATATAAATGAGACCTTCAGGTGCCTTAATTTAGAAGAAAAATAAATGGAGAAACATTTTTCTCTTTTCAGCGGAGACCTACATGAAAAGTAATTTTCCATTACTGGAGTAGTTCTAGTGCTGAGCAAGAAAATGATCAGTTTATGGGAGTGGTATGCTATTTACTTTTCCTAATGAAGTCTGATACATAAAAGTTCATGTTTAACCCAGCTTTGACAGATAGAGTGTTCTCTACAACTACAAGGTGAAGATGCGTTAGAAGGTTAGTGCAGAGGGACAAGCAATAGTAGGAGAGAAGCAGAGAGGTTTTTCAAGAATCCTTTAGATAAATCTTTCTAGCTAAACTTCTTAAGTAGCCTTAATAGCCTTTTGTGGGGGGAAAATAAGAGGATATCTTTTTCTATGTACTTTTTTTTTTTTTTTAATGCTTTGGAATACCAAGTAGTTGTCTACAAGACAGCTCCTCTTTCCATTGGATTCAGAGGTAACCTATTCATTCCTCTAGAGTCTCAAGTTTAAGCATCCTTCAAATAAAAGCAGACCCACCAACAAATAGTATGTTACCCTCAGTAATGCTTGTACAAGTCCTGTTACGAAACACTGGGCTAATGTTGAGTAATGCAGAGCTGGCTACACTAGTATTGAACCCACTAGTACTGGGTAACTGTAGCATGGGCTCATCAGCTCTGAAATATTTGGCATTAGCAGCTATGGGTGGGGCAAGGGGAGAGGCGCTGATCTGGTGCAATTTCCTAGTTAACTGTAGACCCTGTCAGAGCAGCGTTCCTAGTGATGAAGATTGCTGGTCCATTGCCAACTAAATGCAGTCACCTAGGCCAGCTGCATATGAACAGCGGGTTCAGGAATGGATCTGCAAGAGGAACGTTTAACTTGATAGCTGTGAGCGTGTCGACTTTGTTGTCTAGCATATATACGCACGCTTTCTCCTCATTTCCCTTCCACCGTGGTCCATTCAGTTGAATTTCTTTGAAGACTGTGAGAGGAACTGCCTCAATAGTCTTTTAGCAAATTTCTAACACATTCAGGGCAACCTGCTGCAAGTCTTAGGCCAACTTAAATGCTCCATAATTTCAGGGAAGCAAAAACTTAATAGTGATGATTTCTGCTCCAAAAACATTGGGCTATTTCCTTCTCCAAGTGAAATAATTAACCTTGTGTCCCAAACATGCTAGAATCACTTTCCTATTTTAGAACTTAGATTTCAGATACTTGAGTGACCTGCTAGAAGTCTTGCAATAAAGTGTATGTTTGTGTTTTGGGGGATATGTGTGAGTTTCCCCCCTGCTGCATCCTGCACATGACGGAACAAGGTACTTGAGCCCTACTGCACATCAGATGTCAGCCATAAGAAACGTGAGCTATCCTCAGGCTCATTAGCTCAGAGTCCTCTATTTTAGGGGTTAAAGCTGTGGGTCTTAATGTCTAACGAATTGTTTTGCAGCGGAACCAATTGTACCTAGTTGGTTATTTATCATTTCTGCTCATAATACTGAGTTAGTGCTATTCCTGTATGAATTGCATTCTGTGCTTTGATAGGTTCTTGAGCCTCTGTATCTTACCTTACTTTTCATACTTCATAGGATGCACTATGAAGATAGCCACATGCTATTTTCTCCTCAAGTGAGGAGTGGAAGGAGGGAAAGCAAAATCTTGCCTTAACGAATTTATAGACAGTTTTTCCTGATTGGGTTATATTAGACTGCAGATACTAAAAAGGGACTCCCATAAGGAATAGTTTCTACCTAAGAACTAATTTATACTAAGACTGTAATTACCGCAATGCACCAGAACCTGGCCTGTGTTTTTAAGTATAAATGTATGCTGATATTTGGTATTGAAGATTTCATAGTGAACTTCTCTCATACCTAACAACCCACTTAACACTCATTGTCATGCTTTCATTGACATATGAAGTCAGATGTTTGTGTGGAAGCTAGAATGACAGGAATACATAGGGGAAGGAGCAGATCTCTTCTATGGGAGATGATCTGTACAGCATTCCTGGTGTGTATGAAATCCATATGCTTTTATCACCATTGTTAATGAGCTGCACCTGGCCCCTCATTGCCCACATGCTCCTTTTGTCAAAGACAAAGAGCATGGAGCCAGGCCAGCAGGCTTGGTTCTTTCCTACCATCACTGGCTGAGACAAAACCGTGAGTGCTTTATCTTTTGCACTTGGCTAACTTTGTTTGTAAATATTTCTTATCTTAGTGTACATAATAGCTTAAGAACTATTTAGGGACCTTGTAGAGTTTCTTTAGTGCTTTTATTGAGGTGTTCTACACCACACCTTTCTTTTATATACTCAGTGCAGAGGCTGCAGTTACAGGTGGAATCTTTTTGCCTTTGTTCTTCCCGGAGATAACCCTGTTCTTCAGTGAAGGATGGACTTTATTTTTTGTTTGGGTGATTGGCCAAAAAAAAAAAAAAAGCTGAAATTCAGAAGAATGAGGAAGCTTGTTTATCTTGCATAGCAGACAGTTGAGAGCCTTCCTCAGATCCACGTGGTTCAGGTACAGAACTGGCTTCCTCCTAAAATCTGCAGGCATTTTTCTGGTGCTATTTTTGCCCTCAGGCTCACTGACTACATCTCAAGAAGTAAGATAACTTTTCAAAATAACGATATCGCACCAAACATTGGAAGTTGGTATCATCTTTGGAGGAGATAAGTCAAAACAGAAGAGGGAAGCTTCCACCTCCTCCAAGTTTCCCAAAGAGCACATTATGATTCAAAATCTCATGCAGTCATTGGTCTACGATACTGTCCTGTATCTATACTGTGTCTGAGATTTCCATACCACTTGTTGCGGATGGCATAATCTGTATTTATTTGAGAC